CCTAACACCTGACGAAGGTAACGAAGTCTTGAATGTGTGAAAAGTAAACAGTCATCGGAGAGCATGAGAGACGTGAGGTGGCTGATATCAGTTAACAGACTTGCAGTCAGAGCTGTGGTCTCATGGAGCTGCTATGTGAAAACTAGAACATGCCCCATGATTAACTGTGAGGAGGACGAGACTTTACAGCACCTCCTCATGGACTGCTACAGAGCCCAGGAGGTGTTGTCGCTCCTACGGGGCATCGGATTAGACTTCAATGTAGAATATGTCTCAATCATGTATTGTATTCTGGATGAGGGGATGGAGAATAAACACAGGGACCTTTTTCAGCTGGTAATTTGTATCACATGTATGAAAATCTGGAAGACAAGGTGCAAAATGATACTAAATCAGACGATCATAAACAGTGGCACCATCGTGAAACAAATACAAATACTTTGCCGATATCTGTGTTGATAGGTAATAGATTAAGAGCGGTGAATCATAGAAACAGGAAGTGCTCAAACGTTTGTGTGAGTGTATCTAATTTAGCAGTGATTCCATGTCAGCCACAGCTTGTTACAAAAAACATGACTGATAGTGTGTTTAACAAACTTAAACTAGCTTTATTAAATGTCAGGTCTTTGGCAGGAAAAACATTTTTAATCAATGATTTTATCACTGAGCACAATCTCGATTTTATGTTTTTAACAGAAACTTGGATTGAACAAAATAACAGTGCAGCTGTTCTTATCGAATCAACCCCTCCCAACTTTAGTTTTATGAGTCAGGAAATAATGCATAAGAAAGGGGGTGGAGTTGCTATTCTGTTCAATGATTCCCTTCAATGCAGGAAGACATCTTATGGGAACTTTGCTTCTTTTAAATATGTGGCCCTTCAGCTGAAATGCTCCTCTCGAGCTCTGTTCCTAAATATCTATAGACCACCCAAATACTGTGCAAGCTTTTTTGATGACTTTACTGAACTGCTGTCTATAGTGTGTATTGACTTTGACCGTCTAGTCATTGTTGGTGATTTTAACATCCATGTTGACAACCCCCAGGACAGAGGGGCTAAAGAACTGTTTTGTGTTCTTGATAGCTATGGACTGACTCAGCATGTGACGGAGCCCACGCACAATAAGGGGCACACTCTGGACTTAATTATCTCAAAGGGTCTGAATATCTCTAAGGTTGTGGTGACTGATGTTGCACTCTCTGACCATTCCTGTGTTTTCTTTGAGAGCTCTATTTCTGTTCACAAAAATGTTCAAAAAGAGCTAACCACAAAGCGATATTTAACTGAAAATACTAGGGAAATGTTTACTCAGAATTTCTCTTCCACACTTGCCCCTGCCAACATCTCAGTAAATGAGCTAGTAGATCATTTTAATTCAAAAATTAAAAATGTTATAGATGCCATTGCTCCAACTAGGTTAAAGGAAGTGTCTGGCAAGAAAATATCTCCATGGAGAAAGGCCATGACCGTGAAAACAGAAAAAAGAGAATGTCGAAAAGCTGAACGCAGGTTGCGAAAAACAAATCTCCAGGTTCACTTTGAAATCTATAAAGAGAGACTTGGCCTTTATAATTTGGAATTGAAAAACGCACGACAATCGTTCTTCTCTGACATCATTACCAAAAACAAAAACAACGCACGTGCCTTGTTTGCTACCGTCGACAGACTAACTAACCCCCCAGTGTCAGTAGCCTCTGAATTTCTATCCACCAGGGCGTGCAATGATTTTGCCTCCTTCTTCACTGACAAAATTCAGAAAATCAGACATGCAGTCAGTGCCTCTGCATCAGGAACAGCAAATGTGTTGTCCCTATCTCCACTTAACATCAATTCAGACATCATGACACAATTCCATCAGATTAATGATAAAAACCTAGAGGACATTATTCAACTTCTGAAATCCTCCTCCTGCTGCCTTGATATTATTCCAACAGGATTTTTCAAAGATGTTTTTCGTTGCATGGCCTCAGATCTACTTCATATAGTAAACAAATCTCTTCACTCAGGTATTTTTCCACAGGCCCTGAAAACTGCAGTCATTAAACCGCTCTTAAAAAAGAATAATCTAGATGCTTCAGTAATGAACAATTACAGGCCCATATCAAACCTGCCATTTCTAGGTAAAATCATTGAAAAAGTTGTTTTTCAACAGTTGAGTAATTTCTTGCATTTAAATAACTGTTTTGATGTGTTCCAGTCAGGCTTTCGTCCAAACCACAGCACTGAGACTGCTCTTGTAAAGGTCTTTAATGACATCCACTTAAACACAGACAGTGGCAGAACTTCAGTGTTAGTATTATTAGATCTCAGTGCTGCGTTTGACACTGTTGACCACAACATATTACTAGACAGACTAGAAAACTGGGTGGGACTTTCGGAAACAGTTCTAAATTGGTTTGAATCCTACTTAAAGGACAGAAACAACTTTGTTTCTATAGGTAAATACACATCTGAGTTGACAAATATGACATGTGGGGTTCCTCAAGGCTCCATCTTGGGGCCTCTTCTCTTTAACATCTACATGCTACCACTGGCTCAGATAATGAAGAACAACAAAATAAGTTACCATAGCTATGCGGATGACACATACATTTACATAACCATTTCACCAGGAGACTATGCTCCAATTCAAACACTGAGTAAGTGCATTGAACAAATCAATGACTGGATGTGTCAGAACTTTCTCCAATTAAACAAAGATAAAACTGAGGTAATGGTTTTTGGAGCCAAGTCAGAACGTATAAAAGTTAGCGCTGAGCTTCAGTCTGCAATGTTCAAAACAACAGATAAAGCCAGAAATCTAGGTGTAGTCATGGACTCTGACCTGAGTTTCAACAGTCACATTAAAACTGTTACTAAATCAGCCTACTATCACCTAAAGAATATATCTAGGATATATGCTGTGTGCTGCTGTGACTAATGTGACTAAGTGACTAATGTGACTAATGTCACAGCAGGATTTGGAAAAACTGGTCCATGCTTTTATCTTCAGTAGACTCGACTACTGCAATGGTGTCTTTACAGGTCTCACTAAAAAATATATTAGGAAGCTGCAGCTGATTCAGAACGCCGCTGCTCGAGTCCTCACTAACACTAAGAAAGTGGATCACATCACTCCAGTTCTGAAGTCTTTAGACTGGCTTCCTGTGTGTCAAAGAATAGATTTCAAAATACTGCTGCTGGTTTATAAAGCACTGAATGGTTTAGGCCCAAAATACATTTCTGACCTCCTGCTAAATTATGAACCATCCAGATCTCTCAGGTCTTCAGGGACTGGTCAGCTTTCTGTCCCCAGAGTCAGAACTAAACATGGTAAAGCAGCGTTCAGTTATTATGCTCCAAATATCTGGAACAAACTCCCTGAAACCTGCAGGTCCGCTGCAACTCTGACTACTTTTAAATCCAGGCTGAACACTTTTCTTTTTGTCGCTGCTTTTAATTGAACTATTCATATCTTAGACTGCACTGTAACTTTTATCCATGTACTTTTTTCTTTTAATGTTTATTTTATTAGCTTTTCTTTTTAATGACTGATTTTAAATGCCATTTTCTTAATCTCTTTCATTTTTTGTAAAGCACTTTGAATTGCCTTGTGTTGAAAAGTGCTATATAAATAAACTTGCCTTGCCTTGCCTTGAACTAAGGAGAAGAAAAACCCTGGACAAATCCCAGACTCAGCCATGGGGCATTTTGAGTCTGTGACCGAACTGAGTCTCATTGGAATTTAAACGTTATGTTATTTATATATTTATGAATTGTGTTTTATGTGTATTATTAATGTAACTTGTGTATATCATGTACTGCCCAAATAATATAAAATAAAGTTTTCTAAAAAAAAGAAACTTCTCAAGTTCCAGCTTCTGTACCTACCCATTGATTGAGTCCTGTTCTGTCATCACCATAATGGGTTGAACAAAAACAAGTTTTAAATACAACATTATCATGACAGGAGGCTGAAGATAATTGTAATTTCGACTTTTTGATTAAACATCAAAAGGGTTAAACAAGACAAAAGAGCAGGCTGTTTTAGGTTATGGGTTTTAATTGGCCTCCATGAAACATGTTTAAACAATCAGAAAAGCAAAAGGAAAACAAATCAAACAAAAAACCTTTAGGTTTCATGTCAATTGGCGTCTTTTCTACCTGTAGCACATTCAACTGCTGCCCGCGTGTACCTCCCACTGTAACTATACAACAACTAAACTCAGTTATTTTGAGAATATGTATTTGTTTTTCAGTGGTTTGATTGTTTTCAGCACAGAGCCCCATTGTAGAGGTTCTTTTATTTACTGCCTGCAGGCTGAACTACTGCTGTCAATTGGCTTCACCCGAAAGGAAATGTCCAATATGCATTTGGTTCTAAGGTCATTTATTATCTTTACTGGAGAGTAAGATTCAATTCGAGGGGGGAAAGTCTGCAATGGCTAAACATGTAAAATGATCCTCTGAAAACATGGTCTTATGGTTTTCTCACACCAAAAAAATACAGTACCATATATGAAAATCATCTGTTCACACAAAGCCTAATAAGTGTGTATGGCCAGGCTGTGAACACAATGAAAACCAAATCCTCAAATTGAAATGTATCCTGATCAGATTTTGGATGAAATTAAAAGTTCCAGTGTAGAATTGTGTTTAATATTTAAATAGTAAATGTTGTTTGAGTGAACTGAACTTACTTACTTTTACACTTTACACTTTAATCTGCATTGTCAACCACCAAAGATGACAAAGAAGCCAAATGTTTGTGCTGTTTCTTCTGGAAAGTGTTCAGCAGTAGTTTAGTACGCATGCAGTAAAGTGCAACCCTTTTAGCAATGGCTGCATATGGAACTTTTGTCTTTCTTTGCTATGAAACAAAACAGCATACAGTATACACCAAAAATGATAAAAACAGCAATTTTCTAGTCTAAATCCATACCGTTTTTTTAAAATTATACAACAGGTAGAATGAGTGTCCCACATTGTGAATTATGATTAAACTCACAGTCTAGTAAAGAGTCAAAAGGTTATTTTTATTGAAAACATTGCTACACATCTACCGTCAGCGACTATCAAAGTTGTTCCCGTTTGACTTAACCGTTCAATCACAGCAGTTTTGTGGCTACATTAGGAGGCAAAATACAATAATGTCTAGTACATACAGTATAGTTGCCATCATTAGTCAAAATATCTATTGCTTTGGTGAAGGCTGTGCAGCCAATGTTCTTCTTCTTCTTCTTTTCAAGATCTCCATCCTTTGATTCCTGTGTCCTTAATGTTTTACCTTACAATTTTGCCATTGTGACTTTATGTGCATTGATACACCGAACAAAAATATAAATTATATTTTTGTACAGTGTATTATGCACCTTGTTAGACAAATTATTGAAACAAGAGATATCTGTGGTAGTCCATATTCAGCCTCTGTTTTGGATTGAAATATCTTCACATTTGGTTTGGTTTTCTTTCTAAAATGGATCTCTTGGACACAATAGCCTCAAGCTATTTCAGGCTTGATGAACGAACTACTTCAATTTGTACATCTCATGACAGAGGTAAACTGATTCCTACCCTGTACAAAAACAAGACCTCATTCAATATTTTAAACAAAGACAGGAACATTATTAGAAAAAGAACCAATAAGATCACTTTCACATTGTGGTGGTAGATAGTTTGGTAGCACTTTACAATAAGACTACCCTTAATAAGGGTTTACGAATAGTTTGTAATTAATTAATTAATTAAGTTGTGAACACTTTATAAATCATTAAAACATTAAACAGACATTAAACAAGACAACTGTGACCGGTTGCTTGCCAAATAGTGAGCCCACATGTATCTGTACTGCTAAGTCTTATATTGGCTACTTAGCTTACTTCGTCTTCTTTATCAGCCAGCATCCTTGGTATCTGTTGTTCACTGAATTGATTCTCCCTAGGTAGCCAATATAAGGCTTAGTCATCTTGCCAAATAGTGAGCCTGTGTTAATGTATGAAAAGTATGTTAGAACTGGTTTATAAATGGTTCTTAATGATTAATAAAGTGTTTACAACCTAATTCATAACCTACTTATAAACCTTTTATTAATCCTTTATAAGGGTAGTCTTATTGTAAGGTGGTACCGATAGTTTTGTGTATCATATTTGCACTGTAAAATGTACAAAATATCACTATGTTGTTGGCTAGTGATCTGCAATCTTATTCACAAGCACTTTGAAGCATGTTTATTTATCTACAACATACAGTGTACTTTGAAACAGTAACACATTTATAAATAAATATTGCAATCTTAACAATCTTACAATTCTCCTTTTTTATGGTCAGTTCTTTATGACTCGTCACCTGAGCTTAAAGAAGGTGAGGCAACCTCTACCTGTTCTGTCTCCTTCCTTTCACTTGTTCTTTTAATGTGCTATCATTCATCAGCAGATCTGTTTCATATTTGCCCTTGGGCTTTTTTTGCCCTCCTCACCCCCTCAAATGTTAATTTAAATAAATAGATATTTAGGAGAACAAAATAATCATATATCCTTAAAATCTTAATAAATCTTGGAAATAAAAAGCTACAATTAATATCTTCCAAATTGATGGAAAAACATAATAAAAACTATTTATAAAAAAAAAAAAATAGGAAAAGAAATACATAATTATTTTCAACAAAACAAACATGTTTTATGAACCAATATCTATGTGACTGTTTGTGTCACTCCACTTGGTATTGTAATGTCATTCATTATATCCTGTTAGCTCCATGTAGGAAAGGGTCTATCTTGTAGCCATCCTGGTTTCTGTTTTAAATAATCCTCATTATTAAGAGTTCGCTCGGGCTTTGCAAAGCCCAAGCAGCCTCTGTTTTGTATGAGACACCTCAGTCAGTCCCCCTTTAGTTCACAGAGAGTATTTCACTGTATACTGCAGTTCCAAAAGTGTCTAATGCTGTCCAGTCACAGACAAGGGGAGGGGCCTGGGGATGATGCGATTGGTTGTGAACACAGGGAGAAAACCGTCATTGGCTGGAAGGTTTCACAAAAAAAGGAAGTCAGCCTGAAATATGGCTAATGTCATTTCCTGTTTGTTATTGTGCAGGTTTAAATGCCTCTGTCTTGGATCCAAGGGAGAAACAGTCTTTTGTATTTCACATCATCATCCAACTCTTGAAACATTCTGTTGTTTGAGGAAATAGCATGATGGTATTTAACGCTGAATGGCAGCCCCCACAGGTGTCCGAAGGTATGGTTGAGTACTTGGAATATATATATGTTTACATGATACATTTCATTTATGAGCAATGCCAAAAGAAAATGGGTCACATGATGGAACAAAAACAAACAGGTAGTATATTTGATGTGCACTTTTTTTTCAGTAATCATAATCATCAGCAAACTTAGTAATTCATGATTAATACTAGATTTATAAATGATAAATCAAAAGCCACAGTCAATACATATGATTAAAAATACTTCAGAAATGATGTTCTTACCATCCATGGTCTAAATGTATAGTGGCATGATAATGTTTGTCTAATAACATACCCTGAATTTACTGTATAGCGCAATGGTTTACTAGTATTCTGAAAATAAACACTTATAACCAATGGTAACTTTATTATTGATTCTTACACTAATATTTTCACAAATAAATAATAGATTATAAATGAACTCATAAGGTTTATTATTGTTTGCTACCATTGATGTCAGTTTAAGCAAGTAATGACAGTATGCTCTCCACAGCCAAAGGGGAGCTAAAGGTATGCTTCCCCTTCACTGTCCATTCAATCATCTTCTAAACTCTTGGCAACACTTCGAGTTTCATTTACTGATCTCATATTCCTCCCGGTCTCCCTCCCTTCATCCATTGCAAAGGCATTACAGGTGAATTGTACTCATTGTCCATACTCCCCCTCCTGCACTCATCCTGTGCCCCTCCATTTCTCTGTCCCTTTCCCATCAGTCACAGATTGTCTTGTAGCCTCTCCATGTAGGTTCTGATTTCAGACTGACCCAGGTCCATATCCTGGCACACCCACTTTATGTCATCCTCACTGCCATTGGTCAACATGACTGAAGAGTTGGTGTATGGGCCACCCCCACCGGAATTATCATTTGGCAGAACGGTGGCAAAAGACGTGAACTGGACGCGTTTGCGTTTGGCAGCTGCGACCGCAGCTGCAGCCGTGGCCCTGGGGGAATTATTCAGATGCTCCCCTTGGCAAGTGGATTTTGTTCCACTAGTAGGCATTGCAGAAAGGCACTGATGTGGTTCTGCAACAGATCTGGGCAGGGTTTGTCCATGGGCGATGCCACGATGTCCCCCTGGACCACCTCTCCCACTAATGGTTCCCATGCCTGAGCCCACGCCCATCATCAAGGTGTTGCCAGCCCCGTTCAGGAGGTATTTGTTCTCCTCGTATCCTCCCTCATTCCTGTCAATGATAGTGGTGCACTCGTCATGCAGCCCACCCTGGCATTGGTCAGAGTGGTCAGCTAAAAGGTCAGCCTCATTGCCAAGCCACACCCAGTCATGGGCGTGGTTCATGTTGTCTCCCGCCTCCAGCACAGGGACCTGCTTGTGACGGTATCTGCAGATGAATGATAGAAATGAATCAAAGGCTGAACATGAAGTTGAACCAACCCACTGACCTTTCTTAAATTTGAGCATGAAATATATATGTGGTATATACATATATGATATGACAATAAACCTTTGAAAATGTAACAATTAGAATTGAAAAAATAGAAAATGTAATGCTTTATGTCTTAATCCACATACTTTTACTGCTAATTTTCCTTTAGATTATAAAACAATTGAGTCCTCAATTATCACAATGTTTTACCTGAATGCAAAACTGACGCAGTTGATGAGGAAGACCAGTATTGCCAGACAGAATACACCCAGAAGGGCATACATTCCAATCTCCAGGTCCGACAGTCCTCTCGTGGTCTGAGTCAGCTCACTATCTCCAGTGCCTGGTACCTCCACCTGTGCTGGGTAGCTACTGTGGTCCCCGGCCTGGCTGGGAACCCCACCCCGGCTGCTGCTGCTGCCTCCACTGGCAGCTTTGCCACCTGAAGCACGGTGGGTTACTGTGCTCTTGGTGGTTGTGCTAACCTGATTAACAGAGATTAATAAACAGTTAACCCCAACAGTTCAAAATAGAACAGTTTGTTCATTATACTGTCCATCACTGGTTTAGGTTATATTTGTTAGATTCTCTATTGGTAGTTTGGTATATCATTTTTGATTTGTTACAATATTTATGCAGAAACATATTTTAAAAGCAATATTTTATAGGTTTTTACTTAAAGTAGGTATTAATAGTGTTCATTGAACACATTTAGAATACTTTGGAATTAAATATAAAAGAATAAAAAGCAGAATACTTCCGTCTACTAGTGAGATTTCAGATTGACATTTTACTGATAATTCTGCCTGTCAGCGTACATGTCATTCACTTCCTATTAAGATACATAAGAATGCAGTCTACCATTTAGTAATGGTGCAGAAAATTACATACTTTACATAGTGCACTATCATTACATTTGATTTTTCTTTAAATCTTTTTGTAACCCCCACCTTCCTCATTGCTCCTTCCTCTCGATCCACAGCTGCACTGTTGGATTTCCACTCTCCTCCATCCTTTGGCTCGCTGGTGCTGTTGTCGGTCCCTGCTCCGTCGTCCTGTCCACTTCTACCCATCACACCCCTCTCTTCACTTTTTGCTCCAAACTTCACTACCACATTGCCAACTCCAGATGCCAGCACACTCTTCCTTTTGGACTTCTGACAGGTCTCAGAGATGACCATCTCCACTCGAACCAGGGCTCCCTGTCCCTCGCCCTCTGCCACTACAATAGGCCAGTGTTGTTCCTAACAGAGTAATGAGTCGATGTTAAGGTACACAGACACATTTCTTTGGGCAACATCATGTCACTTTTGTCACATAACGGCAAAGTGTTTCCTGAAAATATCCACCAGTCAGACTTGCAATGCTTGTTTCTGGCACATTTTACACAGCTTTGAACTATTAGTCAGACAAAGAAAGTGTCTAATGGCTCGTACCTGATTGGTTATGGAGATGACGCTCTCATCCAATGACACAGCCGAGAGAAGAAAGTCTTTTGGATCATAGACGTCAAGAGGAGTCACTGAACCATCACTGTACTGGATCCAGGAACTGATTGCTGCTTCCTGAAATATAAATCACATACATCTTGTAAAAGTGTATTAGACTAAAGACTACAAACATGGCCTTTATTTGGCAACAATTGCTATGAAAAAGCTAATATTCAAATTTTCGAAAAGCCAATAAATGTAGTATTGTTAAGGGATGGACACATTTTCTAATGGGTCTATGAGTGGTACCTACAAATGACAAACAGACAAAGTATACAACTAGCTTGTAAAGCATTTAGCAGTTAAAGAGCCAAATACTGTATGTGTCTTAGTAAAAAACATGTTTTGAAGCAGGTGATTCCAACAATATTTACATCTGGCCTGGTCCATTACCAACTTGATTTTCCAATGAGCTATTAACCGTTCTCACGTAACAATCAATCACAAAAGACATTCATTGGAGTTATCCTTGGTAGCTTGAGAGTATGATATATATATATTTTTTTAAATATGTCAGCTGTTTATGTTTCTATTGCAATGCAAGCATGTTATTACTCTTGGTGATAGCCAGAAAGAGAGGCACCTACACTCCCATCCATTCACCCAGCACACACAAACAAGAATATGTACATACTGAGAATTGTAACTCAACCATTTCCATTTGTGCACAGTAAAAAAAAAAAGTCTGACATTGTTATGGTGCCTTTCTCCACTCCCTATCTCTTTTATCACAAAGTGAACAAATATTTGGAAGATGGCATTGTAAGGTTTCAGCGTTAGAGTCTGTGAGCTTGATTGTGATCTCCTGTTCTGGATTGTTTGCACCTGTGCCTCATTAACTGTTGTGTATATGTAGCCCTGTTCTCCTGTTGTCTTTTGTCGGTTCGTCTTGTCTTGTCGTTATCTCCATGCCTGTTTACCAGAGAACCATGTTACAAAACCTAGTAGAACCTAGTGATTCGATGTAGAATCCTAGTAGAGCCTAGTAGTCATTATTGGATAGCTTGGTTTCTTTACAATAAAGAACATTACCAAGCAAACGGAATCGAGCATCTGAGTCTTTGTGAGTCCTTCGTGTCAGGCATTTTTTTTTCTGTCAACAGCTTTCTTCTAGCAGAGAATGTATTTATCTCTTCTTGTCTGATCGTGTCTCACTAATTTCCCTAGATAAAACCCGTTGCTTCCTTTAATCAGAACACAGAAAATAATGTGTAGGTATAAAATAACCAAACCTCCCTACAAAAGTAATTAAGCTCCAATGCTAGGAACAACACTCTTTCTCTCCCTCTATGTTCACATTAAATTGTTCCCCCAGTCTCCTTTTTTAAATTTATTTTCAGCCTATTCTCCCCCTTCTCCTCACTTTCCCTCTACATCATACAGCGTCATCTTTTCCACAGGTAATGGTGAATGATGGAGATAAAAACTGACGGATTGGAAAAGAAAAAAACAAATTAATGTTTGAATAAAAGGCAATATCAGATCTGAATTTCCATCGTAATTTGCTGCTTCTTATCCAATTAGCCCATGGATAGAAATTATAATGTGGGGATTTGTTTGATAAAATACAAAAAAATGAAAGAATGGAGAAGGGAAGGGAGGGGAAAGAGGATGTGAGGGATAATAGCTTGAGACAGTCTGAGTAAATAACCATATAATGTGAATAGTTGTATAGTACTGTAACTTGATAGCCTTAAACAATATTCAGTATGCGCGCAGGTTGTTCTATAGATAGTGTGTGGTTATGCATCGAGTAAAAGCAGATCAAAATGGTATCATAATGTTAATTTATAATTTTCATTGTGTTGACAAATATAACATATCTTTGTCATTTGTGAATTCAATTGTGCATTGTCAAAAAAAAGAAGGAAATGCCTTCATGTGGTTCTAGCTAAGAATAAAGAGTATTGAATGTACTGTATACCTTAAGGTGGTTGTAACTGTAGCTAAGTAGTGCTATAGCCTGGAAGTTAACACACTCCTAGTTAGAAACTGATGACGGGAGAGATAGCAACTATGTGATGTTCGCAGCACAGAATTACTGTTTAACTTCCATGATTACAACCTCGGGGGAATTACTGTAGATGGAAACAGCTTAAGAAGTAGTCCATCAGTGTGGTGTGGTGTGTGTGTGTGTGTGTGTGTGTGGGTGTGTGTGTGTGTGTGTGTGTGTGTGTGTGTGTGTGTGTGTGTGTGTGTGTGTGTGTGTGTGTGTGTGTGTGTGTGTGTATATGATATAAAGTATGGATGGGGCTACTGTGATTTGTGTGTGTGTCTGTCTGTATGTGTTTGTTAGTGCACATCTCCTACCTGTTTAGGTGTGTGTAACAGGTCTGTTGCTGTAGTTGTAAGCTGTATAGCCTGGTAATTTCCAGGACTTGCTGTCATACTGATGAACAGAGATGCAACCAGCTGGACTCCCAGGTCAGTGATGGTCACCTAGAAAAAAAAGAGAATATCTTAAAACATACCGATACAAGAGACCAACATCTTAAATACATAAAACCATTTAATTGTGTTACCTTGTCATCCAACACAGTCACAGTCTTCTCTGCCAGGATAGAATCCGACAGTGGGGAAAGAACCTGCAACAAAAGATCACAAAACGGTGATTGGTTGTAAAATGACATTCATTTATGTTATGTTGCCTTTATAGACGCACAAAAGCAATTTTGTCAACATTTGAATTTGTAAAAGGCTTTTAACAAAAATGTCATTCATTGGCAGTTTCAAATGTTTTGCTCCAGCATCAAGTGTCTGCTCAAGGAACATTCCTAAACAATACACAAGTTCACCAGCTTCAAAATCCAAGTATAATTTACATTACGGTGAAGTGGGTTGCTTGACAAGTGATGGAATGTAAGCTTGTGTTTGAAAATGGTTGCAAAATTATAACAATGTTAACAACCAGCTCCAGTTGGTCATGGTAAATGAAGTATAGGAAATTAAGAAGTACAAATAAGGAAAACTCTGAACGACAGTACAGGAGCAAGGTACATTTCAAGAGATGTGTTGTTGTTTCAGTGAATATTATCCTAAAGGTCCCTTATTATACTGTTTTTCATCAATATATTATAGGTCTCAGATATAGACAAAACATGTCTCTGAAGTGTTTGTCTGAAATCCCAAACAGATCATTGCAGCATCCCATAATCCCCTCTGTTTCAGCCCTATTTCAAAAGTGCTGATTCTCTGTGTGTTACTTTAGATGAAAATAAGGAGCCCCTCCCCACGCCCCTCTGAGAGATATTTGGTTAAAAAGAACACAATGGTGCTCTAGGAGGAGATTCAGGTGATTAGGTGGTGGGGAGGGGGGTAACTTGGTGGACTATTGACTAATGGTTACACGAACCAAAAAATCGTTATGACATCATAAAGTGGCCAAAATCTGATCAGCTCATTTTCCGACAGGATTTTATATAAATGGATCAGGACAAAAAGAGAGCGAATATTAGTGGATTTTGCATAATAGGTGACCTTTAAGATAAAAGTGAAGTGTGGCTTGTGGCCACATAGACTGGCAGTATACGCATAAGCTAGGAAACTAACAGACTCATAAAACACACAGTCCTGAGAAAGCTGACATTACTTTGTTTAAAGAAAAAAAATATATTTCAGAAAAACTGCTTCTATTATATCACATCTCTGACTAAATGTAACACACGCCAAGTAGTGGAAACACACACACACGGACACACAGTGTTTGTGTCTGCCTGCCAGCTGTGCTTCAATGTCAGCATCCAACTAAGACAATTTAGCATAAACAAAACACAAGGCCAAAACTAAAGAACCAAAAAGTGAGTGAATGAACAAACAACAGAGAGAAAGTGTAAGCGACACACTGGTAGAAAACTCGAGATAAATAAATGGAGTAGGTGTCAGAGAGAGAGAGGCAATGACAAATAGAGGAGGACAGAAAGTGAAAGAGGGAAGAAAGAAGGAGCGCAGAAGAGATTGGGGTACAGATGATGGAGAGGGGGAGCAGCAGGCATACTGTGATAGAGATTAGGAGCCCTGTGCTGTAGTGTGCTACTCCGCCCGGCGACAGGAGGACAGGCAGATCTGATTGGTGTACAAAGAAAATCTCTCAGAGAACGTGTCGGGGCGTCAAACTCAATCCCATCCTCAGCGAGCTAACAAAATGCAATGATTGACAGCTGTGGGATTGCTCTTCAAGACAGGCAGAGAATAAGAGGGCGAGACAGAGAGACTGGAGGGAGAGAAAGAAGGGAGAGACAGGGAGGTGGGGAGGAGGCGAAACTCTGTGAGACGAAGCTGGGGGGTAAAATTGAAATGTCAAACTATCAAATGACGGCTGTCGTCTCTGGCATCTTAATGTGAATGCTGGGTAAACTCTCTTTCCTGGCTCCCAAACAGAGCACAGCTGTCTGTATGCGTGCATCAGTGTGCATGTGCATGCGTGCATGCAGCAGTTCCCATTGGGACGGATGCAAACACACACTCAGCTTTTCCCCAAAATCCCAAGAGAAATCTAGATAGATGCACAACACACTCTTAAGAGCAATCATGCAAATGCAAGCACTTAGAGTGACATGCTTAATCATACAAATAGAGTTTATATATTGTAACATGAAATATAGAGATTATACAAATTAGGAGAGCATAACAAAATATGACTGTGACATATTTGGGTTTTTCCCTCAGCTCAGATATATGAGAGTAAAGCAGTAATGTTAGACAGTAAGCCACAGGACCGTCCTCCACTGTCACACCCAGTTACAATGGGCCGGCTTATTGGAATTCAGCAAGTGTGTGTGTGTGTGTGTGTGTGTGTGTGTGTGTGTGTGTGTGTGTGTGTGTGTGTATGTGTGCGTGTGTGTGTGCGTGCGTGCGTGCGTGTGTGTGTGTGTGCGTGCGTGTGTGCGTGTAATTACTGAACCTCACACTGAGATGTTAAGGCCAAATCTGACAGTTAATTGTGGCTAATTGCGTAACAAGCTAGCAGGCAAGGCTTATAACTGCAAGAGAGGAAGAGGAGAGGAAGAAAGAGAGAGAGAGGATAGTATTTTCATTTCTGGAGGGCTTATGACTAGGGGTGCACCGAATGGGAAATTCTTGGCCGAAACCGATACCGAAAATAGGAAACAGTTGGCCGAAAACCGAATGCCGAAAGGCCGAAAATGATTAATATAAATATATATATATAATGTATACATTTTTTACCAATGTTGTTCAGCTACCTGATTATGGAAATAGACATGATTATGGCAAAACTTAACTTAAATAATAATCACTATTATGGGTCCATAAAACATTTATTCAGCACTTTTGAATGCATACAGTACATTTATATATGTCATGTATTATTGCTAAAAAACATTATATCGCAGTCTTAGTGTCGCCAACTCGTTTCTAATATGCAAAGACAACAAATGCGTCTATGATGTATTTTCGATCAGACGAGATCTCTCTCCCCCGTCTGTGTGCGAGGGGGCGGGGCAGTTTACACACACGCAGCTGCTACATGCAGCGGAGCACACTGCGGAGATGGCGGAGAGAACGCGCTCCGAGGTGTGGTTAAACTTTACCCGTCTCGATGTGGAGAATACTTGTTACCATAAGTGCAATAAGAGTTTAGCATGTAAACACGAGCAATTTGTCTAAACATTTAGCAAAAGTGCACCGCATGCAGACTGAGGAATGTACCGGGTTCCACTGTCTTTCTAGCAGCTCTGTAGCCCCATCCAGGAGTAACGTTTCCACGTCAGGTGTTATGTATGCTAGCAGCAACACACGGAGTTAACTACATGATACAAACATGGGTTAATGATTAGAGGAAACTGAGTTATTTAGTTTGTTAAAATTTCAGCTATTCTGTTTACAGTCTGTCATCAGATTATTTAATACGATTTGTTAAAGGCTCAGGGCAATCTCGATGACAAAGGTCAATGTCCCCCCCCCCCCCCTGTGAGCCAGCCGCGAGCATGGTCGCCGCGTCTTTATTACGTCATCACAACAACACGTTAGGTTACCAATTTAAGCCTGTTCTGACATTCGGTGATATTTTTTCGGTGCTAAAACCGGCCGAAAGGGCCTTTTTAACCATTTTCGGCCGATAATTTTCGGTGGCCGAATATTCGGTGCATCCCTACTTATGACTGCAATGTGACTAGCCATTTTATTCTTTATTTTCATATATTCACATGTTTTCAACAGTCTTCCTCTGGAACTCTTTTCCGAAAAGTGATGCATGCATATTGGATGTAAAGTGGGTTTCATAAATTATTTAAAATACACATTCAAGCACTGCTCCTTGGGTGCTTTAAAGTACGTTAATGGTACACCATAATGTGTCTAGTTACACCTACTCCTTTTGATTAGAAGATGGATCAAACTTTGAAACCACATGAGGATTATTTTTCATTAAGTGTTGGGCTCTTTCATTTCATATTGTATTCTTAGTTTGAGATTAGAAGGTGGATATACACAGCTTCAGTAAGGACAACTGGTTGTTGTCTGGGATGATAAAGCCAAATAATTAAAAAAAATAAAGTGAGAGGGAACAGATACATGTTTAGTTAAGGGAGTGGAACAGAGGGTAATCACCTGTATAGTGGTAATTCCCAGGTCCCGTCCGATCAAGATTCTTCCATCTATCAATTTGGCAATGCGAGGATCCTCTACCTGTGGATCACAGAAACAGCCACCACAATTAATATCATTTGTTCATTAATAACCATGAGGCTTTGCAATGCATTCATCTTGGATTGGTTTTACATGCAGTGGCTTGTGCTTGCTTTTATTCAATACGCAAATCAAGGAAGAGTTCAAGTTAAGGCCAACATTTATGGAAACATACAGTATAGCTTCTATCCCATATGTTTTTTGAGAAACTGGATACCAATCTTAGATATGAAGTGGTATTAATTTTCTCATCCCACTCTTAGAAAGCAACTAAGTACTGTTTTAACAATTGTTGATCTATTCCTATAAGGAACATTTGGCATTTGTACGTTTTTGTGACAGAAAAACATTACCTTTAGCTGGTCGTAGACCAAATGAGTAATATCAGCTTGCCAGTCCGCACCCAACATGAAGACCATCTCACCTCCGGGGTCAGAGGGTTCTGCGACAAAATGAGTGAGGACTCGCACCAAGGCGTACTGGTACTGAAAGTCAAGAGAAAGTTCAAATTAGACTACAATTCCTAACAAAAAAAAGGATTCTTACAGTACATCTTGTTAGCCTGTGCGTTATCAAGATGTATGAATTGAATAGCAATAAATGACACAATAGTTAAGTCCAGTATCTTAAACCAACTAAAGCTAAGCATAACACCAAGTCAGTCACATTTTATACTCAGTGGTCATACAGCTCTCACCGTCTCTCAGGGATATTGACTTTGTAGAAAAGGATTAAAAAACTATTTGTGTGTCATGAAATCAATTACAATATTACCTGTAGGGTGCAGCCTTTGCCCTTCCTCTCATCATCCTCATCATCTTCGCTGTCTCTGGTAGGCCTTAGGAGAAAATAAAGATAAATATGACAGAGAGAGAACGAGAGAAGAGAAGGTCAGATTATCTGGTAATTAAATGGCATTTTTATACACTAAACTCCGAGGTAATGTACTGTATAATCCCAGTTTCAGGTTGCACTCTCAGTCAAACAAAATACACACTTTAATCTAGCTGCAACACTTTTAAAACCCCATAGTTGTACCAAGTGAATTTGCTGGTAAACGTTCTATTTAATTTGAAATGTAGCCTAACTGGCCTTGTGATTTAGTCTTTGTTAATTAATTATGCGGAAGAGTATTTCTAAAAACCTAAACTATTGTAACTTCTCTAAGCTCAATTTCTCTTGCTAATGGATCCCCAGGTCACCTTAACAAGTGTACACTCTAAAATGGCACTTCTCTGTACTGAAGTTACTGCGAATGTTTTTTTATGGTTAAAGCCATGATCACAAGGCGAGGTGTTAATGTTTTTGTTTTTCAAATAACCAAGTAATGGAAAATGTTGAATGAAATGTTTCATGTTAATGAGAAGGTGTTTAAAAGAGCCAACATATTTTCCACAGTAAGTATAGAGTGTGTTGTCTAAACACAGCAATGAAACAGCTTTTGTCTAGGGTGTATACCTGAAAAGGCCTCTTTCAAGCAGAACATTTTTCTATACTGGGAGGTTGACAGGATTTAGAGTTGAGTTTTGTCTTCTGTCACTGTTTTCCAGGGTAGTATATCCTAAAATACTGAAACTTTGCTTGTTCCTTTAGTGCTTTCACCTCCCTATATTGGACCTGTTTCATATATGTTTCTGTTTGACCCTTTCATCAGCAAAAAACTAACCAAAACGAAGTAATCATCACTATGCAGATGACATAGCAATATATACAAATGTTGTCCTGCTATTATAAGCGTTGTGGACTCCATTTATTTTTCTATTGTTTTACTTCTACTTTAAAAATAAACTGAATTATTGTCCTTATTGTGGGAGTGTCATGGAACCAGCAGTAACACTTGAATGTGAAGCCAAATACAACCAAAACACACAATAAAAGTAACACGATTGCAAGTTAATTTAGTAAGGCACTTCCTTATAGGCTTCACACATAGAAGCTTGTCTCCCAGTTGAATATGTGTCTCTGTGTGAGAGTGTGTGCCTAACAGTGTGCTGGTGTCTCAGCATAAGGAGGAAAGGGAGGTAGAGGTGTGTGTGTGTGTGTTTGTTTGTGTACACGGTTTGGTGGCTATCTGAGCAGAAATGGCGAAATTGAAAAATAGGTCCAGCATAACAGAATGGAAGGGCAGCAAGATGGGGAATAGAAACAACACACAGTCATACACACACTCAAAGCACACACACAGGCATACACCAATGGAGAATAGACGCCGTCAGGCTTATATGCAGACAGAGAGGACACACATACCATGTTCTTTATAAACGAAGAAAGAAAGTGCACATGCATATTTAAGCTGATGTTGAACGGATTGTGTGCTACACGTTATTATGTGTACTGTTATTGAAATCTGAGCCTGAAGTTTCCCCAATGTGACTCTGAATTTCAGTTCAAGAAACTGAGTTGGAGGCTATGAATTTAAATGTGGCAGCGTCTTACACATCCCTTCTCTATATTTAAGTTACGAGTTGCTTATATTATTTAAAGCACCACAAAGCACAGCTGAAACCAACTGTAGCCTATGTGGAGTAGAAGTTTGTCACATGCTTGATGTGTGTACTGCTACATCATAGCTCCAACCACAGGGGGAATACACGACCCAGACTGTGAAGGATAGTAGGAATACAAGTAAAATAATACAGAAATTAATTAAAAAGAAAATGTTTTATTTAATAGTGTATTGAGAATCACAGGTTACATGTGCCATTATGTCCCATTGAAGAAAGTATGTGAGAGAAAAATCTTTGTTTATGAAGTTAATACATACTTCAAATACATTTTCTTGGACGTGCTGCAACTGAATCCCTAAATAAATATATATTTGTTCCCATTATCAAAACTTAATATACTGTACAGCTCAATTAAAGTGATTCCATATCACAAGCAGACACTGCAAATACAAGTTAATACAAAAATAGATAAACTGTAGACAATGTATATTAAATGGTTAAGGAGTTCTTTAAGTTCATAGATTTCTGATAAAAATCAATATTTTTAAATATAATATTTACTATATTTATCTGAGATTGTATACTGCAGGGTAGCCAGAGAATAAATGCCCTGAAGATATTTCCACAGTTTATATACTACGGTTTCAGTTTATTGACCCGCTGCGTATGAAATTGCACAAATAAGTGCCCCCACACATGCTCAAACACACACACACACACACACACACACACACACACACACACACACACACACACACACACACACACACACACACACACACACACACACGCACACACACACACACACACACCACACACACACACACGCCAACATCATGTAACTGATCCACCCACTTGCATTGTCTACCTTTCACAGAGAGTGTGCATGTGTGTGGGTGTGTGTCCGTTTAAATGACTGATGCCTCATTCAGGGCAATGATGCTAAAGCCATAATAGTTGTCATCAGTATAGCCAGACAGGCCTTGACCTCATATGAAATTATAGACTGGCTGGAACGATATGTGCTCTCAACTGCTCCATTCAATAAGCACTATATCACACACACACACACACACACACACAAACGCACACATACACACACACATCAAGACAAAGGACACTCACATTCACACAATGCCTTTGTTTATTCCTTCTTTTCTCCCTCAGTCAAAAAAAGAAACACACACACACACACACATTTAAAGGTATATCATAAAACAAAATGACCTGACTCATACATTCTCTTTATATTCTTTCTTTACACATCACAGGCTGAAGTGTGTATTCCTTTTGTGGAAGAAACAATATGCGTTGCCTTCTTTCAACTACATGGACCAAGAGCTGTAGTTAAAGTTGAGAGTATATCTGCTTTCTTGTTGTTTTCTGCTCTCATACATCTCACACTTTATATTATAAGTACAACTCCTTTATAATTCAATAACCTTGGTGTACAAGTCAATCATGTTTATTTTTGTTATTTGAATCAAAAAAAGTGTGTCTAAGGTAAACACAGCAGATGTATGTTTGTATTATTTTTCATGATGTTACCGGTGAATGCTTTGGTGTGGCCTTGGATCAGTCAGTTGTGTTCCTAAAGTGTTATTAAAGGGCACTTCATCCACAACACTAAAGAAAATATTTACATTGTTACCAGCTTTTCACTATAGGGACAATCAGACTATTTCAAATAAATCAGCTTGGACGATGTATTGAACGATATTAGTCTATTGCAGATATATTAGCATCGATGTCAGCTGGCAAGTAATAACAGTAATGCCAAAAATGTGTTTTTCCACCATAAAGCAAATACAAATGTATTTCTAGAACACCCCTCTAAACCATGGGCCACACAGACTTAAACATGCTTTTGTAGCACAATTGTATTTGGCCTAAAAAACACACTGGTTGGGCTCTTTTGAAGACTGCCAGCAACTGTTAGATATATAAATAATACAAGAAGATGATCCATCACAGGCTTCCAACCCATTGACTATGACTATTGATAAATGATGCTTCCTCCTTCTCTAAAAAAGTGAAGCAAAGATATCCATGGTGTTCCAAAAGAGGATGGCAACCTTACTGTCAGTGGAAATGTCGCTAAGCTAGATAGCAACACCATTAATGGATGAACCACAGATATCCCGTGTAGATATTACATTACATTTCCTTTTGACATTACTAATCTTTGTATATTCTTCCTTTGGCGTCATTTGCAGAAGCTTTCAATCATGACCTTACACCCTCATCTAGATAAGATCAGATATATTCCTCCAAATACAACACTGGCCCTTTAAGGTCATGTACCTCTTGTTGGTGATGATGGGTACCCTCCAGCCTTTGACCTGGCTCAGCTCAGTGTCCGACACGTCTATCTGCAGAGGGAGCTTGGGCACCCACACGGTGAGCTGCAGCGTGGCAGAAAGGTGCAGGTAGGTGAAGTTCACCGCCAGAGACTGCCGACCGCGCATTTCTTTACCGTTCACCAAGACCTGGTTACAGTTGGGGGAAACCTGAGAGGATGACAAGATGAGAAGAAGAGGTTTAGGACACCGTGCATGCAGAGGATGATATTTCCATGTGATGTCACACAGACTTAATGTTTTCCCTCTGAAACAGATGTGTGGCATTCCTTGAGCACAGCAAGTTTCAACTTTCATGCTCTTTCAGCCAAAAAGATATGTTGTCACTGATTGCTTCTAATTGTATTCATTGTGTAAAGCACTTTGGAACACTGTTTTCCCAAGTGCTCTAGAAAGAAATGTTAATAACATGCCTCTGAAGCTCCTTTCTGCCACAACGGTGGCATTTTGGGTTTGGTGATTACCCAGGGAGCGTATGTGACCTCCACCAATCTAAAGCAATGTTTTACATTTGCAGCGTTTTAAAATCAGTAAATCACATAGTTTTAAGACATTAGCATAATTGCTTTGAACACATAAGCCCACCCACGACAATACTGCCAACCTTTGTACTGCATTTTAAACTGTGTTTCAATGGATCTAGGAGAAAAGGAATATTATTTAAAATAATAAGAGGGCAAAAAGCTATTAATTTACATTTGTCAACACTGATATACATTACAGACCATCATTCACCCAAACTGTGGGCTCATTGTTAACAGTAATTATACAGAGTCAAAAGGGAATATTTAAAGTTATAACAGATGTTAAACCCTGTTGAACCTACTCTAACCCCACAACACATTATATACTGGTATAAATCATATCTTCTCCTTTGGGATATAAATATATATAGTGTATACATTGTCTTGGTTTAATAAAGATGGTAATTAAGTATTGATTTCCACACTACAAAAATGTATTTTCACAGTTCATGTACACATAGTGCCTGCCCAAATACAGTTTGTCAGACACAAAAAGGACACCACAAATCAAATGAAATAATTAGATATTGTCTTAAATGTGAAACTCCCCAATCATGCTGTGTTGAAAAAGAAAATGAAGATAATCATTAAACAAAGTGGACTATAACAGTTTGAGTATAAAGTCTTTATTTTGTTTAGCTCTTGTTTTCCATAGACAGTAAAGTATGTGGAACATTGTAAGTGTCTTGTTAATCTGAACAAAAATAATACTTTTTAACAGCACCGAGTTTGTTTTCACAATTATGAACATGCAGATATCTAGTTAGAACATTGATACACAAAGTCAATTGATACTTAGGTGCATAACATGTGTTACAGCACCCAGACAATCTGACCAGCCAGGATATTAGTCGGTTTCATTTGTTCCCTTTATCTTGTCTGACTGCGTGACTGATTAAGATGACACTCATCCAACATATTTTCCACACAATGGACTCAAGCAGGAAGGAAATAATAATAAACATAGGAATATAGTGAGGAGCATAGTCATTGTGCTACACTCTACATGTATCATCTATTTATCAATATATTATCTTAATATTTTGTCTAAAAATTGTTCTTTTACAAACGTTATCCTTTGCAAGTACAGACTTAAATACAAATAATAATCTGAAGATAAATGACTATAATCACCCACATCTACCAAAGAAAAATTAAGTAAGAACTATGTTGAAGATAAATATGACTGCAAAACTGTGTTCAATACATTTTATTGTATCTCTCTCTTTCAGTTCCTCCCCCTCATCTTTTCTGATTCATTTGTATTTCCTGGCATGTATGTAACTTCTCCTCCCCCTCTTTCTTATACCCTTTTTAATCTCTTTAATCTCTCAATGCTGCACAATGCCTTCTTTTGACCTGCCCTTTCCTCTATCATTATTACCCTTTCATTTAACACTGCTTTTGTCTGATTTCCTCTATCTTTTCTCACAAAGTGTAACTGCCCCCCATTTCAAAGTTTTTCCACCTTTGCAAAACTGCGTTTTCCCACAAACGCACAGGTTTAGCATTTCCTTCCCCTCAGTCCCGCTTCACTCTACTATTGGGTTTAAATGTACACAAGTATTTGTTTTACATTAATTTACCTGGGGTAGAGTTCCCTTGTGTGTTTGCTCTCTTTCAGCAACAACCTCTTTCATTATTCATAGTCATACACCTTCAGGGGGCTTCAGAAAACAGAGTTCCATTCTTGATCATTTCCCAAAGCCTTCACTTCCCCAAGAGCAATTTTACCTGGCATATTTTTATTTCAACCTTATTTATTTATAGTTGACAGTGTTTTGCTGCTTTGTATATAGAACCTTAAACATGTCATGCCGGGTGTGTTTCTGATCATTTGGTGGTTTTACCTGATGAAAAAGCAGAGTCGTCATGCCAGCTTTGCCACACAACACAAGTTAAAATTGCTTTAGCTAATAATCCGAAATGTTTAATAAGTATAACATAATAAAATATATGTAAAAGGAGAGGTTTAACACTCACTTACTTGCCTGGCTCTGGAAGTTTTAATGGACATTTGTTAGCTTTGATAATACAAATATTGACTTCAGGTTTCATGTCAGGTTCTGGCTGTATATTGCAATCAGGCTCATAAAAAAGCACCAATAGAACACACACACTTTTTTTTTTAAATGTGTAACATTTTGTCTTGTTTCCTCATGAAACCCTTTGATCTCAAAAGAGGTTAATATCTTGTACATAAGAATGCAACCGTTTCCTCTATATCTCCTGTCACCTTTTAATTTTTCTCAATTGTACTTTCTCCTCTCCGCTGCCGATCCCCAACATAAAAGGAAAGATGCCCGACCCTTCTCCTCTCAGCTTCCGCTTTTCAATTTCACTCTTTTTCTCACTTTAACTTTCCTTATATCTCCACCAACATCCACTATTTCCCTCTCTGGACCCTTTCTTTTTCTATTGTCTCTGCCTCCCCCTCCCTCCCCCATCACGCAGTCTCCCTCTTCCTCTCTCTCTGAAACCTGATTTACCGCTTGTTAACATCAAAGGGACGTTAGACTGTTGGTGCCTCAAACTATTTCTTCAAATCATCACATAATATTCCAGGTGCAAATCAGTGTGAAAACTGCACGCGGTTACTGTGGCAGCGTTACGTTTCCAGTGAAGGTAAGACAGCAGCAGCTAAGGGAAACACAAAGGTTCTGCTTGAAGTGCCACTGTAGCTGTAGGTCTGTCATCTCCACGACAGGTTCCTGAACTACTTTAGCTCTTTGGTTCAGTGCCCAAAAGAAACATTCAAGGAAAATTACGTTTGAGTTCATTTTGTCAGCATTTCAAAAAATGTTCAAAGAATAGGGTAAAAACAGGTCAGGAAGATTGAGATTTAAAAATGTTCAATTTGATTGCGGAATGAACTACAAATTACTAATACAGAATGCATGTAAGGCAAGGCAAGTTTATATGGCACTTTTCAACACAAGGCCATTCAAAATGCTTTATAAATTGAAAAAAATGTAGGATAATTACAATATCTCTTTATCATTGCTCTACAAAGATAATTGCATTGAAGTTGTTTACACTTTAATTGTTTTCTTCCATTTTATTCGTATATGTTTATGTTAAAATGACCGATCACACAGCAAATAGCTTGAGTGGTGAAACACATGTTTTAATGCACATTTTATGATATTATTAACTATTTTACTCGTAGCTTTTTGTTAGGCTGTATTGCCGTTTACATTTGACTTGTCTCTCTCTTTCCTCTGTTTTTTTTCTCTTAGTATATTTAAGCTGTGTGAGTGTGTGTGAGTGTGTGTGTGTGTGTGTGTGTGTGTGTGTGTGTGTGTGTGTGTGTGTGTGTGTGTGTGTGTGTGTGTGTATGTGTGTGTGTGTGTGTGTGTGTGTGTGTGTGTGTGTGTGTGTGTGTGTGTGTGTATGGCGCAGAGCTGTGGAGCAAAGTGCCAAAATAGACTCACTAGAGCTGACATGACATGATGTGGAGATGGCGACACACAGAGAAAGAATTAACGAATGAATACATGCACACACACACACACACACACACACACACACACACACACACACACACACACACACACACACACACACACACACACACACACACACACACATCTGGGACCAGACAGTGTGAGTGCCATAGGAGAGGAGATTGGAAAATGAGAGAGCTTGTTAAATGTTGTCCGTTATTTGTACTCAAACAAGTAAATTGCTTTTCTGACAAAAAACACCTTTGTTTCATGTTAAATGTTTATGTGTGTATCCTTTGTTAGTTTGTGAACCAAACTAGATTTAAAGTACAAAATAATGATGAAAGGGATATTTGACATTGTGGTGAATACACTTATTTTCTTTCTCTTACAGAGACTTTCTAACAAAGAGAACCATTACCACTTTCATCTCTAAATGAGTATCTAGACCCATCTGACTATTATCTTGGCCTAGCATAGAGACTGGAAGTAGTGGGAACAGCTAGCCGGGCTCATTCCTCCTGCTAACAGCTATAACGCTTCTAATGAACATGTTGGGTCTTGTTTGTTACCAACAACAATTAGCTGCGTTTAATCAAGCCATGCAATTAATGACCCTACGGAAGTTATTTATACAAGAGAGTGATATCAATAGGATAGGTAACAAGCTCTTTCCCAAAATGTCAAAAATATTATTCAATGTTTCTGTAGTCAAACATTTGTCACAATTCTGTCACTTCACGACACCACAACTCTTAATCCACTCACATCTCTACAAAGAAGAACCAGTCATTTCTCTGCAAAAAGGCAGATATAAAAATGTGCTCATCCCACAAATGTGCTGACCTCTACTAGACATCAACTTTAACTGACTTTTTAAACCATTACATCTTGGGTGGGTAATGTATCATTGAAACATGTTGTGTTATATTTGATTGAATACTCTATATCCTGAAATCAATCCAAATTAAAATACTTTGATACAACAAAATAAAATCTTCAACCTCTGTCTTTTTGCAGGATTTTTTTTTTTTTGATTTTGCTGCGTGTGACGTCTTTTTTATTGTTCATCCGGTATACGGTGCAGTCTAGGACTATGAAGAGATCAACATAGAATTTGATATGGCCTCGTTTCAGAACATAATGTTAACAGCCAAACACAAATGATGTGTCAGTACAA